AGTGTCATATTTCATATGAACCATCCACAGTAATCTTCCTGTCCCAATCCACACTCATATCAAGATAAGCTGGTCATATGATGCAGTAAGCAGTTACGGTCTTCCAAAGTTCCAGGTGGCAATGTAAACTCCATTAGTATCACATCTTCAGCCGTTTCAACTATGTACTCCATCAAAATGGATATAATCACCGCAAAAATCAGTCGCTTATCTGATTCATCATATGATTTCTTCTATGTGTCATGAGCGATTTAATCAATCATGGATGAAAGTAAAAAGGCTTAATCTTCTCAGGACAAATCCAAATTACGTTTGTGAGCTTATTCCCCACCAGATACCTGAATCTTAGAATAACTGCTCTAATAATAACGACTGCCTGCAGTCAATTTATAACCTGAAAATCTATAACCACTTCCAAATATTAAGCTTGTAAGGCTCCCAAATAAAGGTAAAAGTTATTACTATGTAAAATTTCTTTAAGTGACTACATATTTTCGTGATAATTCAGGACACTTGTACGCATTAGTTCACATGGAATTCAAGAAAATATCTGTTTTAGACCCAAGAAGCCTGAAAATAATTTAATATAACCCATTTTCACAAAAATAAGCTCCTATAACGCCTCTGTAGGCATGAACAGAATGACCCTTAATATGCGCAAAAACACAGCGATTGCATTTATCCTCACTGCAGCAATAAACGAAATGAACTTCGGTTCGGCTCTCAATCTGGGTAGTGACCCTAGTGAAGGGTTTAAAATCTGACATTCATACAAGCCTATTTTGATTGCTTGTGCTATAACTGAACAATTGAAACCTATGAAAAATGCCAATTTATGATATTTTACGATTGTAACTTATAACAGAACTGACCACGCCTGTAAAAGTGCAGTGCATTTCATGTAAATTCCCAGTTTCTTTAAAATATAAATTATTATCACAACTCTGACTTAATCACATCTTCCTGAAGGTTTGTGAACCTTGATTTATGGCATGCGACGTCATGCCCATCGAACAAGTGACTTCGACGGCATGCGAATGGTACGTAATGTTCAGAATGTATCACTAGTTTAAGTGGAATCCGCCTAAATGAATTTTCCATTCACCGTCATTGTTACCGCACACTTTTGGTCGGCTGGTTGGTATACGATCCGATGAAACAAGGTAATAATGGCAAGAACGCAACACAACAAGTTCAATGTTGCGACAAAATAAGTCCGATATTCTCCGTTTTCTCACGCTGCTTGAAATACATCTATGCAAAAACTTTGGACAACAAGATGGGCAGTTACTAACACTACAGGAGTATTAGGTGTGAAGTGAACATGGTATTCTGCAGACACTTAGTGTTCAAATAGCACTTGGGTTCTTACCTTTGCTATTTCCAGTTCGGAAGTCCTAACATCATCCTATACCTATATCAATGACTGTTAGTCCTCCTGCTGCTTTATTTTCCCTGTCATTCTTGGAAACTAGTTATTTACTCTACCTGAACAATATCGGGGTCGTTTCCAATGGCCTTTGACTAGAAATAACACTCAAGACTGTCATGTGACCAACCATTTCGCTGAACCCGAGCTTTGACTACACTACCTTCTGACTCTTTAGTCTGGTCCACCTCGCCAAGTGGCCGGGTTGTTGTTAACACTCTGCTAACTAGTAAAAGGAAGACATAATTCCCGTGACTACTCAAAAGTGTATTTATAAAGGGCTACAGATATAGATTGTGGAGTTACGCAATCACACCACAATACTACCTCTGGGCTGTAGTCCTCTGAAAATTATAGTGACCACCATGTGTTTCGAATCACACAGAGAGATAAATTGATAGCTGACATTGAAACGGCCAAAGTTCCATTGACTTGACGGAATCTGTTGGTCTCCTACAGCATCATGCAGGACTCTAAGAAAATGCCAGCGGATGCTACACCTTCTATAGGTTGCAAATTGTTACATTCTTTGAGTAGGCTGCAGTTATTAACACCTCTACTGGGTGTTTTGAAATATGCATACTTTTTGTTATTTACGCAGCTTTTATGTTCTTTTTCATACTTATTCTTCTGCATAATATCCTTTAATAGCGAAGAAACGACTGTCTGTGTGTAATGCTGATAAGAGACATACTTAAATAAATTCTGTCTGTCTATAACTTGTCCTTTGATCAAGGGTCACTCGCCGAACATATTTAAACGAAAACGCTTTTTCAAGAGTTAGTTTGTAAGGATTGGATCTGTTCTTCTCGAGTTTAACCACGGATTGGTGCAAGTTAGAGAAAGAATGAAAATCAAAGATTGCTGAACAGCTGTTTCATCCTAGTTTGGGAATCCGAGGTTCAAACCCAGGACGTTCCGGTTACAAGCAAACAAGCCCGTATACCACTCAGCCACTGGGACCCGAATCAATGACCAGTGCATGAATTCCGACTTCTGCCAATTCGTGATCTAGCGCGATCCCAACCAATGTCGTCGGTGGGACATCCATCCTCATACGTGACGTCTGGATGGACCTCACTGGTCACTACTTCTCACCAGAACCCCAGAAAACTCCATCCTATAGCGAGTTACTTGCGAGCATCAGATTAATTTTCTAGTTTTTTAAGGATTGGTTTTGTTTTCGCGAGTTGATCACGGATTGATATCAGCTAGAGAACCACTGAAAACCGGCACCGGAGAACCGAGCAGCTGTTCCATCCTAGCTTGGGAATTATCGGCAGTATGCACCCACTACCAGGGTTCAAACCCGGGACCTTCTTGTCACGACGCAAGCTCGTATACCAGGCCTTATTGGGGAAGAAAACCAAAACAATCCACTTTATTTTTGCAAATATTGCCGAAAATTGTAAGTCACGGTATTAGTTGATGTGTATTCTGGTGGATAGCCAACAACAGACAAAAGAAATTAAGAATAGTTTAAAAAACGCAAGATTTGTAGGTCAAAGCCAGCACAATATTAGCGTTGCTCTTTTAATTTTTTGCAAGCCAGCAGGAAAATGGGGTCTCAAGCTTTCAAGTTTCAGTGACGGTGGGGCCACATTTATGGAGAGTTCGCTAGGCTCATGCTCAACCTTCCTTCTTTACCGGAATTACTATCACCAAGCCAACTAGGCACGGTGCAGGAGTGCGTCCGCTGATAAACGAAACTAGACATTTAGAGTAGCCCGCAGACTTTCTGCAACTAAATCATCGGTCCACTGAATGGTGGCGAAGTATGACACGAAAAGCGACATAATTTAGAAGCAAAGAAGCTCACCTGTTTGTCTGTCAAATCACCGTGTAAAATAGTTCCGGAACCAGACTCTCAGAAACACGTAAAAAGTGAGAAGATGGATTTTGATTTTGACAGCACACTGGTGTATTCATACGGTGGGGGGGGGCAGCGGAAGACATCTAAAGGTGTTAAAACCTGAATTCGAAAATATAGAGAATGGAAAACTTGAAAACTAAAGAAAGAGTGTTTTTCATTAGGCGCCTGGTTATGGCCGTCATTCCAGAGGTTCCCAGATTATAAAACCAATTTGGTGTGAAGATAAAACAGAACGAAAGATTTTTTCCAATTTCCACATGTCTTCTGTCAATGTCCAGGTCTTACTACACTACACCTCACGTTGTCCTTGGAAGACTTTCAGAAACTATGCGTAACAACTAACACGTAAAGCCAAAACGCAAATTAGGGATTCAAGAACCGTTTATTCTTTCACCAATACAGAGCTGACCATTAGGTTATTGTACTCGAAGTCTAAGAATAAATGCTATAACAACAAATCACAATAATACTTCCAATAGTTTTCTCTCTTCCAAAGAACAGCGAACGATGAGACGATGACTGCCATATTGATGACTCGCGCAAAAATATGGAGGAGTTGGTTTTGAGCAAACAACCATGAATTGGTCGTTCAATCTTCAACTACGTTGACAGTCTCTGAAAACTGCTTCCTAGAAATCTTCAAACATCATTCGGGTTCAAATTATAAAAAACGAGGTTACTTCTGAATCAGTAGGAATTCATCGTTAATTTCCTCTAAACTTATATGTTTTAGAAAAACGAGAATGAACAAATTTGTCATTCTGGGTTTGGTCGATGTCCGGTCTTCGAGGCAGTACCAAATATGTCTCATCAATCAAGGTAGACTACCCGAGATTATTCAGCCGTTTAAGGGCCTACTCGCAGTCGCCGCCTGAAATGGTGTCATCTCCTGGTGTACATCTATCCCCATTTTTACTTAATTTGGTCACAAATGCAGAAATCACTCCGAATTTAGTAGAATTTAGAGACCTTAGAATTAATCTTCAACTGACAGTCTACAGTTTGATTGCGAACCTAGAGGACTGATAGACACTTTGGGTAGAGAACTCAGTACGTTTACCGCACGAACTGCGACTGTCAGATATAATGTAGTACTATGGGGCAGGTGTACACGGACTCCTACTTTAAAGATTAGGAGTGAAATGGTTGGGCGTGTCGACCATTCCATTGAGAAAGAAAGGTGACTTTATTGCAGTTTACTGTGTAATAAGTAAACACTTCGGAATAGAAGTTTCCAAACTTCTCCTATTCAGGGACTCCTCTCAGAGATAAGCATAAGAATATACTTAAGTGGAGATCAAGTAAATTAGGTGAAGAATTTAAGTGCTTACGCTTCGTGATCAATGTCTGCAACTCATTATCTGATTAAGTGGCACCCATTCAATTGGTGGAAACCTTCGTTTGAAAGTTTGACCGCCTTAAGAAAAGTGAAAAGACTAAACAGTATTCATCTGCGCTATTAAACTAAATCCTTGAAAATATGAGGCTAGCATAATATACTAAATCAAAATTTTTCTGACAAATTACGGCATGTAGTTAAATAATTAAATCTAGTAAAGCCAGAGAAACCTATTTCTGTCTTCACATGAATTTTTAGTCCTGGAAGCAATTCTTATCTCTTCATTTTACTTTTTCACATTCACCATCATTGTAGAACCTAGCGCGCCAACTTACTGCCGCACAGTATAAACACTTGGGATGTTGGTCATTATCCTGACATTTTGTTTGGTGCTTACCAAACCAGTATACTCACAATACGAAATAAGAGATAATTCCCTTGCACCTCCTTTCACAAACTGTAAGTACGGATTTTGTTGTCATTCTGGAATTTTTGCTCACACAACCAGTTGTTTCAGTCCAAAAATATCGACTGTTTTGTATTCAGTAATTTCTCTTTGTGTATATTCAGGTTCATAATTTATTCACACACCTCTAAGCCTTTTCAACTCTTCTGCATAAAACTTTGGGGCGATATGCACTCAATACAATGACTTAAATTTTTTTTTTTCATATACGGGTAAAGCTACCCACACGCAATTTTGTCAGGGACTTTTACTATGTGATTATGTCCATTGAATTGTACTCGAAACATCGGTAAATAGTAGTTTATAACTGAAACTTCATCCCACAAATTTACTCAATGATGGATATCAAAACTCTGATTGGTGATCTTATTTTGGTTAGACTAAAGTTTTGCGACCCAAGCTAATGGCTAAACACAAACAAACTAAGTCTCTGTTTGGACAGAAAACTGATAGAAAACAAATTGAGCGGAATTAATTTACTGTACATCTGGCCATCTCGAGATACAGGATCCTGTATCTTTTTTGCCTCATTGTTCGTTATTTGGGTTCTTAGTGTTATTTCGAAATAAAATCGTCGAACCAATTGTAAATCATGTCATTTCGTGATCTATTTGTCGCTGGAACAATGATTCTTTAATGCCCACATAATCCTTTTGTGGAATAGGTATGTCTCCATTCCAACAGGTCAACCAAATCTGAAAAGTGATTTTGTGTTTTGAATACTTCTGCAAAACCATTCAATGTTATTTGGTTGGTAGTTCTCTTGGGCCGCTCAACACCTCAGTCTTACGCTAAGTATTATCCAAAGTCTAGTCGCAGCTTAAATGGAATACCAAGCTCACTCTGCGTACTCTTTTAAATACCTGTAGACTTTCAAACTTGCCACTTTTCCCATAAGTTAGTTATGTCCGACTGTGAAGAGCACTAGATATACATAATATCATTCAGTTCAAATTCAACTCTAAACGAAAGGTGTGCTAGTCCTTGTGAGGAGGTGTCATCTGCATGTGTGAGAAACAACAGTTTCTCATCAAAATATCTTCATCCTGTTTAACTTAGATATGTATGTAATGCAAGTAACTGACTTGTTATGGCAAAAGTAGCTGTTTACTGCAGACAGAGAAGCAATCTAATCGAACCATATGAAAATCGAAATATTTTGAAAACATTGAGAAAAGACTTGCATATAGTTGGCATGCGTTTCCTATTTTTTGCGAAGGGTATTTGAATTCACCAGATTGGCTTGGCATCATAATAATTACAAGCAAGAAAATGATCAAACACATCATTCACTATTAACTAGATGTGTCCATTTCCTACCATTTTAAGGAGTTAGTCAGTGTCATCTATTCATGCTTGACTTCATTGTTTTGTTTAGATATCTGTCTTTGGTCATACGACGCTATTTTATTAATTACTCTGCGGATTCATGCAGGATAAGATTGAATCTATACTTCAATAAAAATTTCTTTTTGTGTACGGTCGTGTTTGAAGCTAGTGTACATGATGAAGAAATTTAGTGTCTAAGTAACTAATTCATAACATCATGTTATATTCGTTTGTAATTATCATACATACATTCGATGACATTCTGCAGTCAGCTGTGAAGGATGTGCGTAAAGGTGGTGTAGATCTGCTACCTGGAGATAGACTTTTCGACCTCGAGTATGCAGACGATATCGTCTTACTGTGCAATAGCATGAAGGCTGCCCAAATCGCACTTAATCAGTTGGCGATCAGTGTCTGTAAGTATGGTATGTACTTTGCGCCCTTTAAGTGGAAAGTACTGTTACAAGATTGGTAGGAGCCTGTACCTCCACTCATTCATGCGGGTGAACCGCTTGAAGTTGTTGATAAGTTTGTGTATCTGGGTAGTTGGGTGCTGGCGGAGAGGTGACGGATGAGATTTCCAACCGTATAATGAAGGCTAGGGGGGCATACATCAACTTGAGCCACCTCTGGCGCCGTCGCGACGTTAGCCTGGCTGTCAAAGATTGGGTATACAATGCTTCGGTGTGGGCTGTCTTGCTCTACGTCTGTGAAACCTGGCCTCTCCGAGCTGGTGATGTGCGGCGGCGACTCTGCGTGTTCGATCGTTGCTGTCTCCGCAGGATTGCTTGCGTTCTATGACATCATCGCGTGAGTAATTCTGAGGTTTGGCGGCGTGTTTGAACGCAATGGAGATCACCACTCATTGAGTGTCGTCATCTGGAAACACCGGCTCCGGTGGCTTGGACATGTGCTGCGAATGTCACCCCAGAGGCTTCCGTACAGGTCTCTGTTCGCTAGCCCTGGGACAGGATGGAAAAGGCGGAGGGGTGGTCAGTCCATGACGTGGCGTCGTGGGATGAAGGAGTTTTGTGCTAGATTAGCATCGGTTGGTGTGTCACGACTCCCTGGTTGGGGTCCGCGAGATGGCTCAAAATGATATCTTGAAACGTTATCGGATATGGCCAAGAATCATAATCAATGGCGAACGTGTTGCAATTTCCTTCCTTCTTCCCTTCCCGATGATCGTTAACGAACACTGTCTGAACTTGTTAGGCATGACTGTTTTCCTTCCAGATGAAGTTCTTTATCCGTTCTTTACTTACATTTTTTTCTTTTGATCTATGTTGTTTTATTATTATTGTGTGGCGCATCCTTCTTGGTGCCATATTGTACCAAGTTTTTATGCGTTTAAATAAATAGATAAAAACATATCATATGTTAGTCACTTGATAGTCACTTATTTCAGAACACAATGTTTAGCAAAGGGACTCTTCAACGCATTTGTTATATATATATATATATATATATATATATATAACTCTTTATATTAAAAAATGATATCCCGTGAGTAAATTTAAAGATAGGTGTGAATGCATAAAATACTAATAGTATGAGATGCAATTAAAATATTTGATTGTAATCATATTTAAATATCAAGTGCCAAATGGCAAAACAATTTAAGCCATACGTAAAGTGATTCATAAGATGCATTAATTTTGGAAGTGGGTGTATAATTATAGGGCTAATAGGCTAATATAAAACGTTACGTAGCATGCTGTAAAATTCGATAAGATGGAATTCAACATTAAAAAAATGTTTTGGGTTTAAAATAAGTAGAAATAGTTTAAAGCAAGACTAGTATTAATAATAATTGTGGTAGTGAGGGAAAGGTACATAGACTGGCTAAATAAATAGTACAAATAAAAATTAATGTCTATCCCTTTACGGTCAAGGCAGAAGTAGGGATTTTTCATGCTTCTTCTTTATACACGAATGTCTGACTTAAACTCATGAATGGCCAATGTCTCCGGTGTCTTTAGAAGTTTATAATGAAGAAAACGCGGCAAGTTAGCATGTCTTCGATAGATCTTAAAATCATGATAATGGTTGGTAGTGTGACAGGAGTCGATTATAATCGCAAATATTTTAATTGCATATCATACTATTATTATTTTATGCATTCACACCTATCTTTAAATTTACTCAAGGGATATAATTTCTTGATATAAAAGGTCATATATATACGATTCGTTGAAAAGAGCCTCTCCGCTGGATGTTGCGTTCTTAATGCTACAGTAGGAATTATTATATTATTGAAAGAAAAATGCAAATTCACTTATTTGGATATTAAGATTTGGCATGTTTAATAAATGTGTAATCTCTTAAGCTTCATTTAATGAGATGTATTGAATTATTACTACAATTACATTTGCTTCTTTGTAGTATACTGGAAGCCCTATGGTACTGCAGTCATAGAACCTGGGTTTGTGCGTTTGACGTCTGATGTAAAAAGCAGTCAAGGTGGTATTTACAATACAAAGCCTTTGATCACCCGAGATTGGGAGGTGATCATCGCTTTTCATGTTCATAGCCCGAAAGTTTTGGTTGGTGATGGATTTGCCTTTTGGTATACTCAACATCCACCCTCACATGGTATATTGCTTGATAATTTTTTTTATAGTTATGCTATTAATATCTTCTAGGACCAGCATTTGGTAGTAGAGAAAAGTTTCGTGGGTTAGCTGTTTTCTTTGACACATACGCCAACCAGAATGGAGAGCACAGTCATGATCATCCATATATTAGTGCAATGATCAATGATGGGACTAAGCATTATGATCATGATAAGGATGGAACTTTAACAGAACTGGCTGGTTGTTCAAATAATTTCAGAAATACTGATCACTCAATGGCTTATATTCGTTATAACAATAACCAGTTAAAGGTAAGCTTATTAAGCATGCGTGTTATAAAAAAGTTTTTGTTGTACATAAGTGATACGCATTTCACTTCACTGACTGACTCGTACACCTAGTCTCTACACTGCCCAGTTGTTAGTTCAAACCCAAACTGGTCTTCATACGAGGGCATTGCCGGTCAAATAACTTAAGCTTTTGTAAATCATCCGTCTAAAATAGCTATCTTTTATCATTAAATAAAAGGATAGTACATTGCTGTGCAATAGAGTTGACTTTCTATGGACAGTACTTATCTTACTTCACAGTTGATTCAGTTGAAGAAAAGTTAAGCGGACATATTTTATTTATCCGACCTGTGATAACAGTTATGCAAGTAGGAACAGAATTAAGCGGGAAAGGAATAGAGGCAAGAACAACATGTAACATAGTAGTGGCTCATTTCAATGTATAAACTGCCATGAACTAGTAAAAAATAGTAGAAAATAGTCGGTCCAATTAAAGATTAAATTAGGCATATGTGTATCTACCACTACTCACATTAAGTAAAATGGATTATCACGGTAAAATTTTGCACTGTCACACCTACATGCTTAAATGTCACCACTTAAATCAAAGCAACAGTTGTTCTCTCTATTTTGGTCTAATCACTTTCACTACCTTAAAAAAACATTGAAGAAATCCTTTTGTTTTGATGATGTTGCCTTCGCACTGCTGTGTTGAAATATCCTTTGTCGTATATATGATGAATATTGTGTTCATAGCAATTCGGTAATTGCATTCAACACAGTCACTAAGTGTTGTCTGTCTGTCTGTTTTCGACATAGCACTTTGGACATATGTGCAACAGTTCAAGTCGCCACACTCCCTCCTTTTAGCATACAAAGTAAGAGAAGAAAGAAGAAATGCATAATAGAGACAGTAAACAGAGGTGTGAGACAAAGGAAGAGTAATAACGAAGAACAATATAGTTTCACTGTAAGTCATAAGTCACAAGGAGTGGATGCATCTGCACCATTGAGAACGATTTTGAGCCATGTCACCAATTGTTTCCAACCATTGGTTTTTACCGTCCCGAGGACCCCAACTAGCCAGCTGGTCTACACCTTCCTACGTAGCTTAGACTAACTATTGTAGATTTCATTGACTGGTGCCATGTTTTGGTTTGACCACCATGTGCTAGCTCTTTTCCAGCCTGACCCTATATCAGTTAACATTGCCTATTGTCGAAGAAGGCGATCGATAGCTAGCGGTGCATACGTAACACATGTCCTAACCATCTCAGTCGATGTAAATTCACAACCTCGTCGATTGATTTCCCCTGCTTTCCTAGAACTCGACGCCTAAGCTCAATATTGCTCACCTATTATACCACTTCACACGGGAAATAGAACGCAGGCACCTATGATCAAAGACAGCTGATCTTTTCATGTCTTCCACTCTCACAGTCATAAAGGAGGACGGAGCGGACTGATGAACTGTACACCCGCCCTTCGGTCGATAGCCAACCAAATATCATGTCTACGCCAGAGACGGCGTAAACTGGCATATGCGAAACTAGCCTTCTGTATCCGTGCTGAGATTTCGTCAGAGATCAACCCGTTGGGGCTGATGGTACTTCCCCAATAAGTGAAGTGGTCAACGTGCTCCACCACTTCACTTCCTATTTCTAATCTAGGAGTCGGTGTAGTCTAGTCCTGTAACATCATCTTGCATTTGGTGGGAGCGAATCGCATGCCAAACATTCGTAGATTGCAGTTCGCATTTTTCGGTAACAATACTTTACAGGGTATACATGATTATTAAATAAGTGAATAAACATTCGATATCCTTTTATCCGTAGGTTTCTATAAAAAGCGAAGCTATGGCGGATCCTGTTGAATGTTTTACAGTTGATGGTGTTCATCTACCAACTGGTTACTACATCGGAGTCACAGCAGCTACCGGTGATCTCTCAGGTGAGTTTGCAATATTTTGCGTAATTATTGTCTTTTGTGACCATTGTGATAATAATAATAACAATAATAATAATACGGAAATTAGGTTCGCTCTGGTGTCAATTGTGTCAACACACAGCATACTTTAAAACAAGCAACAAAAGGTGTTAATAAAGCAGGATGTGTAATGAATTCATCAAACTTCGGTAGAAATCTTCGCCTGCATACTCTGTATTATACAGGGATATAAAACTTAGATAAAATGCACTACGGTTCAGTTACATCACTTGAATAAACAATTAGTTAGGTATCAGTGAGTGAAAGAACTTGAATATATCAAGAATTGCGAACTAAATATTGATAATAATGGTAATACTAGTAATAATAATAATAATTGTGTTAAAACGGGTTGAGATAATGGTAATGATGAAGGATAGTTTAAAATGAATCAGAAATAGTAATAATTAGAGGTAGAATATAATACAGAATAAAATAATAATAATAATAACACTGACCACCATTTCCTTTTGTACACTGAGACCTGGTTTTGTAAACTCGAGTTCCACAAGTCTCCACAGTTGAAAGCATCTCCCTTTTTGTTTATCTGCTGATAATAGTGAATGACTTGAGACAGCGTCAATATCATGTCCGTAGTCCACAAGATTGAACTTTCTTATTGAACTCCTAGACACTTTCACTTCATCTGTTTTCAGCCATTTCGGCAAATACTCCATCATGCGAGTACACAATCGCCTTTCTGTATGACCTATGTATACGCTTCCACAAACAATCAAACTGATACACGCAGTTTGAAGTGCCGAGGATTGGCGGCTGGTCTTTCCAAGATTGTTGAAGCGCTCGCTTGGTGGTGGTGGTGTTAAGGAACACGAGTTTTGCGGCATAATAAGTTCTCTTGGTAGATTTATTGAATCTTCGTTTGACTAATTCTTGTACATCATCTCCTTTGAACGACAAATTAATATGTACAGATTTTATTGATTAGATGATTTCATCATGAGCTGACGTCATGTAGAGAACCATTAGAAAACCCAGGAGTACTGGGCAGTTGTTTCGTCCTACTTTCGGACTTTTCGGCAGTACGCACCTACCGGGATTGGGACCCAGGACCTTCTGGCTACACGGCTAGCGAGCTCGTAGACCATTAAGTCACTCGGACACGATCCAATGGCCAGCCCATGAATTCTAACTTCTCCCAATTCACGACATAGCGCGACCACTTCTCAATGTCTTCTTCGATGATATACAGATTTCTTTGAAACTGTCTGGATAGTTTTACTTGGGCTTGTATCTTAACGGTATTTATCAATGAACTCGGGATATCCATTCTTAGGTAAAATATCCTCCAGAGTTTCTATTTCATGTTCAACCGTACTCTCAGAACAAATTTTTTGTGGCCTATTGAACTATGTTCTGATTAGGTTCTTTTTGTACTGGATTGGAACAAAGCTCTTGAAATGCATGTACTGTCCTGTCCATGAAGACTTTCTAAATATAGATCTTTCCATTGTGCTATCAGTGCTTTCTATTAGAGAAACATCTATAAATTTAATGGTATCGTTTTCCTCGTGTTCTACTGTTGTAAATTCGTATCGGGAAATAAATGTTTCCAACACAATATACTATTTCTATACCAAGAAAGATGGAGAAGACTGATCGAAAATGCATATATCTATTGCCCCATGAAAAAGGCAATATAACTTTGATTGGATACTAGTGTAATGTGTCTAGTCCTTTGTTTGATGTAGACTGAATTCTATCAGTCAAGTTTGCAGTGTGGCCACCATGCCGCTAGGTGGCTCGTCATCACGGTGCACTTTGAATTGTTGATATTAGAAGGTTGCAGGCAATGAGTAGAAGAAAGACTTGGATGGGGGTTTCGTGCTTTGTTATCACTCATCAGTCAGCAAGGCATATCTGCATCCTTGAAGGAACTCATTTCCCTCTTGGGATGCGAATCTGCGTCACCCAGTGCAGCAGTCAGTCAGAGACGTTACCATTGAGGTATTCGGACAAACGATTGACCTCGTGTAGGATTGTATTGCATACTTGTTAGTAACTACTGTGATTCGACTGTACCAATTAAATTTAGTGACGCCAGCTCACAGGTGTCTGGTTTACAAACCATGTGGGGGGAGGGGAAACACTAAATCATAATGTTGCCTCCTGTCTCAAGCATACCATTGACAGCGTTATCACATTTCTACTATAAATGTTTCTGCTAACCTTTTTTCTTCTTCACGTTCCCAGTGGAACATAGGGCTTCAAGCTAGTGGCTTGAAGTTTCTGTAGCAGTGGTGTTTATTTTACAGGATGAGGTTTCTAGCCTCATGCCCAACCTTTCCTCTGTACCAGCATTATTTCTGGCTGAGTGAGGTAAAGGAGTGCGTCCTGTGGCCGGGGATCGAACCCCTGACCATGTGCATGATCGGCGAGCGTCCTAACAGCTATACTACCGACGCACAACCTTTTTTTTAGTGTTTGTGTATTCTTCTTTGGCTGTGTGAAAATAATCAACTCTCAGTTTATTTCTACTCTTCATAGTCTCTCCATTGTCATAAACATGTTCAAATATTTTGCACATAATAATTATGGATTCTGGTCATTTTGTTTTAGTGACCAGTCACGTAAAACATGACACTTTTCTAATTTTTAACTGAGTGTATGCACTTTGTTTTATAACTAATCAATAAGCAAGCTTAGTTCTCTTCATTTTTAACATTATATGCATGCTTTTTATGTCTAAATATAACGTAGTTAGCTATGTGTCAGAATCGATAGGATCTTTAGAAGTTTTTCAGCTGAAAAAACTGCGAAGTAGAAAATTAGGTCATCTCAGAACTGAGTAGTTGTAAAATGTGTTGCTATTTCGTGACTACAAATCAATTCTAAAATTGTTATCACTCAAGAGGGGCTGAGTGCTACTTAAATATCACAGCAAGGCTCTGCATTCCGATAAAAAAAATTTGAAAATTCTGGATAAGCAGAGCTCTGCTTCCAGTTTTAATTAATTTTTTTAATTAATTAATTTAAACGCATAAAAACCTGGTACAATATGGCACCAAGAAGGATGCGCCACACAATAATAATAAAACAACATAGATCAAAAGAAAAAAATGTAAGTAAAGAACGGATAAAGAACTTCATCTGGAAGGAAAACAGTCATGCCTAACAAGTTCAGACAGTGTTCGTTAACTATCATCGGGAAGGGAAGAAGGAAGGAAATTGCAACACGTGTAATAGCACGCGATAAGTTTCATTGATTCTTGATTGCTTCATTCAATTCATTGTGTGAGGGCTTAGATACTGCGCGGGCGCCCAGACCGAAACAGGTGGTTATATTAAGGGACCACCCTCTGAGCCTTTGACTTGGTGTCTGATCCGCAAGGTAGTGGAGCAGCGTCAGGAGCTGCATTCCCATGGTTTCCAGTGACCCATATGGGTTCATACGCCATTTGATCCGATTGGATACTGGAGCCCATGTACCCCATGGTAATTGCTTTTAGTTTAACCGCTATCCAAACAACCTTCCTGGCATGGTAGGACCTGCAGGGACAGAGTCCCAGTCAGTTTAGCATGTTGGGTCATTACGGTATTCAAGCCCGACCACCACGATAAGGTAGCAGTTATCGGCCGGGACTGCTTCCAGTAGTCATAGAGAGTGGTGTTACCAAGCACTAAGTAGTCAGTTAATGCTTTTACTGATGCCTCTAATTCGATTACCAAGCGGGGGAGTTACTCAACATAAGGATGAGCTGTATTTAAGTGACAGAGAGGTTGTGGTTTCCAAACGACCATCTCCTTTCATCGAATATTTTTTTTTCAAAATCGAACAGCGTGGTTTATACTTGTTAAATTCGATTAAAGTACTATTTCTGTGGCGTATGGCAGAGGCAAGTGTACACAGGAAAATTTCTCCGTGAAAGGATTTAACTAACCGCTCTTAAGAATTGTCATTATATCAAGTAGAAAGAAGTTCTCGGCCTCAGGTTGACATGTCGACTCTTTGTGCCGATGCTTCAATGATATCTGGGGACTTAAACTGAAGCAATTTGAATTCCACTGCTAGTTACCACCCATCAAAATACTTCAAATTAAATCCTGAAGCATCTGGACAAGGAGGCAATATGTCAACCTGAGGCCGAGCACTGCTGTCCAATCAATCAATCGGAAAGTCTAAATTGAATGAAATAATAACTAATACCCTTTGCAAAAAAGGTGGTTCAAGTGTTTTAGTGGGTAATGATTTGGCGTTTGAAACTGTGGATAATGGTTTCGAGCCTCAGCGGGAAGACTCATTGGGGAATGCAGGTAGGTAGGTACATCCAGATGATGAGCCCCAGATGAGACAGCTGAAATGTGCCTCCTGGTGGATTTCACCGCTAGTCACTACCCACCAAATTACTTCAGTCTACAAATATATGTATATATATATATATCTTCGGAGATAAGGCAGTAACTCATCGAAGAAGACCTTGCGAAATGGTCGCACTATGTCGTGAATAGGCAGACGTTAGAATTTAAGAGCCATTGGGTCGGGTCCCAGTGGCTCAATGGTCTACGAGCTCGCTGGTCTTGTTACCAGAAGGTCCCGTGTTCGAACCCCGGTGAGTTGCGTACTGATGAATAGTCCGAAACAGATGTCCAGTACTCCCAGGTCTTCATTAATTCATGTATGCTGTTGATTAGGTATGTCAAAATGTGATTAGTCGTTATCTTCTGGTCAGCTTGCATAGTATTTCTTTTTTATTCGAACTAAATATTCTTCATCAATTATCTACTTCTTTTTTTCATATTTAGATAATCACGACATATATTCCATCCATACATATGAATTAGATCGTAGTTTAAAAGTAAGTCCATTGATGTGTGGATTTATTCCTTAGCCCGTTTTTTCGTCCAAAGCGTATAGTAGTTAGTATACTTTGCTGGTTGCTAGTTTCACGTCTAACCTTCCACTGGTTTAATCCAGATTTAAGCGTGCATCGGTTGGAGATCTCAGATCTCAGACCAATTAAGGTGTTGGTTACGGGCATTCTACAGTTGCACCACCGATGCACAGTTTGTTAAATTACCAAATTATCAAACTTCAGTTGGGGGGGGATTGGGGTAATAACTATACACTTTGCCTGCGAATTACAGCAATCCAGCCAAAACTCATTCTTCACATTATAATACCTTTAGGTAACGGTAGCTAGTAACTCAGTGAAATGCATATTGTGTCACAATGATAAGTGACTAAGGCCAGGTTAAAGAATGGCAATCAAGGGAAACAAGTGTGCATCAATAACCTTGAAACACTCACTCAAAGCAAGCTAATGAAACCAGGTGAAAGACGCTGTATCCGTAGAAAAATAATGAGTAGAGTGTGTGAAAATATCAAACTGGATATCTCATTAGTTTAAAGTTAGCTTATGAGTAAGTTGAAGTTTAGAAGTGTTGAAGGTTAGATTACGGGTAGAGGTTTAGGGAAGGATTAAAGTTAGGGTTGAGTAAGGGACCCTAGTTCTTCCTTTATGAAATCGCTAGGTCCCTTCAGGGTCATTAGTGGGTTCGTTCGTTCGCTTGCTCGCTTGGATATAGCTCTTCTTTAACTTTTCCATAGATAGTTTAGCATCTTTCAATTATATGATACCTGGACACAATATTCTCAGTGACCTAATTAGGGTTAAAACCCCGATCAGTAGATGACTCTTGTACATCTACTGAAAGTATCATAAGTAAACTGAAGGTTGCTGGTCGAAATTTTCCAGCTATATATGCCACATATCATCATCAGCATCATCATCATCATTCTGTTTTCTCTGTTTAGATGCTGTTAGTTAGTTTTTGGTTTCATATTTCACGGTGATTACAAAATTGTGAAACAGTTTTTAGTAGTTGTCGGTAGTAGTAGTAGTAGTAGTCCCGCCTAAAATGATAAAATGTCGTTTATTTTTGAAAAAAAAAAACTGTGTGCATATATTGTTATGACAAATTTTGTACCTGCTGGCTTTTAATACGTCCTCCTTCTTAGTAGAGGATGAATTAAAAACTATCTCAAAACAAATTGCGCATTTAAACATGAATTGTGAATTGGGTGTTGTGTGAACTGTAAATGCGTTTATGTGGGAGTGGTTGCCAATGCTCTGCAAGTATGTTTTTTTCTTTCTGTTACTTTGTCATCAAAACGTAGCTTGTTTTTTTTTGTGTCTTCAAATATATGAATATCTGTGGCACTCACTAGTTGCCACCATTTCTAGGCGTGTTGCCTTAGTATTTTTGTGCCATTTAGGTTTAGTAAATAATCATTTGTGTTGTTCAGCGAATTGCATTCACCCGTTCACTGCTATCCAAACTTGTACATTCTTCAAACTTATATATAAGACTTTGTGACTAAGCAAAGTGTTTAATTCTTGGTTTGAGATTTCACACTATACTAAACGCAGCTAATTGTTATAACTTCCAGTACTTATTTTACTTGTGTAGGCTTTATTATAATTATAAATTGTTATAAGCACAATGTTTTTGAGTATTTTGCACATGGTTTAGCAAATACTCTTTATCTGTTGTGTCATTTTAGTCAGTGTGTTGGGGATGCCACCTTTGACAGACGCTTTGCGTCAGCGGTTCAGTGGTAGAATACTCCCCAACTGAGGCTCAAGTGGTTTGAGGTTCGATCTCCAACAGACACAGTCTTAAACTTCGCCTAGCGCGGGTAGTAAGTTCGGTAAGGATAGAAGTTTGTGCATGAAGCTAGCGACCTCACCCTGTAAAAATAAACATCACTGCTGTCGAAACTTAAAAAAACTCAGGCTTTTGAAGCCCTGTGTTCTACTTGGAATGCGAAGAAACACTCACTGACTGATTGGTTTCAACGTAGAACTTTGCACAGAAGTGCAGCAGCATACAAAGCAGTAGAAGAGGGTAGAGAGAGAGATCCAAAAGAGAGATAGTAGACAGAAGTGTGAGTGAGGGAAAAAGTATAGTACTATGGAAAAACAATAGAGTTTTATTGTATATGACTAGTCATAGAGAGTGAATGCATCTTTCCCATTGAGAGGACGGTTTTGAGCCATATCACCAATCGTCTCCAGACATTGGTACTTATCACCCCGGGGATCCTAACAAGGAGGCCCATACCTCCCTATGTATTTCAGTCAAGTTGTCAAAGATTTCATTGACTGATTAAGCCATGTTTTGGTTTCACTACCTCTAATTTTCAACGTGATTCTATGTCAGCTAACATATCCCGTCGAAGAAGGCAATGGTTAGACATGCGTAACACATTTCCTAACCGTCTCAATCAATGTAGCTTCACAGCCTCTTCGGATTAATTTTCCCTGTTTGACTAGCATTCGACGGCTAACCTCAATATTACTCACCCAATTATGCCACCTAACACGGAAGATACAACTCATGCATCTATGATCAAAGGCAGCTAACTGGCCTTTTCATGCCTTTCCACTCTCAGTGGCTATGTCTCACAGCCTTAAATGGAGGATGGAGCGGACTACTGAGCAGTGTACACGTCCTTTGGTCGACTGTTGGATATCACATCTACTAAGTCAGAGATGGCGTAATTTGCCGTATACCAAACGAACCTTTTGTATCTGGGCTGAGATTTCGTCAGCGGTCAACCCTTTGGTGCTGATTCAGCCACCACGTCACTCTTGCTTATCTCTAAGCTAGGAGTCGATGTAGAAGAAATAAAATATTAAAATTTAAAAAAGATGAAATTGTATTCGTGGTTTTACTCACTAGTGGTTTTGCTATTGTTTTTTGTTTTTGCTATTTAGGATGATCCATTTGCTGATTATTCACGAATTGAGCCATCAGCTGAACATGAATCTGCACCAAGAGGTAGGTGTTAAAGTCCACCTTTTCTCATATCAATATTTTTTGACAATTATTACACACTATCGATTTTTATGGTACTATTTATTGTAAAAATGAAAATAATTTATCTGCAATCACTTTTTATTTTTAGCGACTTTTATGTGCTTTTTCCAGGAGAGAGAGAGAGAGAGAGAAAGATAATTATCGATTGAATTCACTGCGGATACTCAGGAATATCAAATGAGAAATACAAATAAGCGAATGTTGTATTTAATTCATAGATGGATGGTTGCTATGACAGTAGGGCTTTGTTGAAGTGAAGAAAGTGTTTACCATAGTCATTTTATTAATTAACACTGTGTGTGTGTGAACGGATCAGTAAGAAGGAGGAAGGACTGCACTACTCGCCGATGCCTTTTCGTAATCTCCGCCTACGCCCCCACTGACTGCAGTTCGGATGAAACGAAGGATGAGTTCTACCAAAAGCTGTCTAGTTTGGTGAGAAAGGCTAAACGCTCAGATATAGTCGTTCTAGCTGGTGACTTTAACGCTCAAGTAGGGAAATTGTGTCAATCTGAGAAGGATGTCGGTGGCACCTATGGAGTTCCGTGCCAGCGAACCGACAACGGTGACCGTCTCCTACAGTTCTGTTCAGATAATCATTTGTTTCTTGTAAGCACTAACTTTAAACACAAGGAGAGACACTGTTTAACCTGGCGACCCCCATCATCAAACCAACGCTGGACACAAATAGACCACATAGCAATAAGCTATCGTTGGCGTGGGTCGGTAGGAGATTGTCGCTCCTTCTGGAACACGTGTGTAGATACCGATCACGCACTGGTCCGGGCTCGTGTGTGCTTACGACTGAACGGACGTAGGAAACAGCTGGCGGTAAAACCATTACGCCCCCAGCTCGATCAGGAAACTAAATCCCTATTTGAGGAAGAACTAGCTAAACGCATATCTGAATCCGACAGCTGTGCTCACCCTGGAGAAGCCTGGAAGAATATTCAGTCAGCTATAGATACAGCTGTAAAAGCTGTGAATAAGACAAATCCAAAGGTGAGTAAAAACCACTGGATTTCGACTGCCTCATCCGAACTGATAGATGCTAGAAGACTTATTCCGGCGAGCTCCGAATTCAATGAGGAGCGAAAGCTGCACAAAAGGAAACTTACTAAAAGTCTCCGCAAGGACCGTGAACAGTGGTGGGTGACAAAGGCGAAAGAGATGGAAAAAGCATTGGCGATAGGCAACACTAGGCAACTCTTTAGACTCATCACAGAATCGGGCGGGAAAAGGCAATTCATAAGTGAGACTATTTCTGAGAAAAATGGCTCCTTAATTAGCTCTCAGGATAGACGCCTTGAACGCTGGAAAGAACACTTTGAGGAACAATTTAACTTGCCTACAGCCACACTGAACCTCCCCGCCATCCACCACGTACCCGAATGGGATATAGACACTGGTCCGCCGTCTGTAGGTGAGGTTACAAAAGCTATCAGTAATTTGAAACGAGGCAAAGCGGCAGGACCCGACGGAATTATTCCGGAGGTGTTTAAATATGGGGGTGACATACTAGTTTGTAGATTAACTGAGGTACTAGGCAAAGTCTGGGAATCAGAGACAGTACCATCAGACTGGGGTAAGTCACTCATTATACCGATATTCAAGAAGGGAAACAAGTCCTCGTGTGATAATCATAGGGGGATCAGCCTAACGAACATAGTCTCTAAAATCCTAGGCTCAGTAATCATGCATAGACTAAGCAGAACTCGGGAGGAACAGACAAGGGAAAATCAAGCAGGCTTTAGACCAGGTAGAGGGTGCATAGATCATATCTTCACTCTTCGACAGATTCTAGAACATAGACACACTTTTCGGCGTCCAACAATTGTCATATTTCTTGACTTGAAGGCGGCCTTCGACTCCGTGGACCGAAAAGTACTATGGCAATGTCTGACTGTGAAGGGAGTGCCAAGAAAGTACATTGCACTAATCAAGGCACTCTATTCAAACTCACGTAGTCGTGTAAGGGCTTATGGGGAATTGTCATCTGAATTGGTAACAACCAGTGGTGTCCGACAGGGATGTCCACTTTCCCCATTTCTGTTTAACTTCATCATAGATATGCTAATGGAAGTATCCTTAACTGAACGTAGTGACTTAGGAATCGACTTGTTACCAGGGAATAATCTAATGGACTTAGAATATGCAGATGACATAGTCCTGTTAGGGGAGGATGCTGACAAAATGCAGAGTCTTCTGAACACCTTGAGCAGCAATCTTCGTATGTTTGGCATGCGATTCGCCCCTGCAAAATGTAAGATGCTGCTACAGGACTGGACGACGTCAACCCCTAACTTAGTGATAGGGAGTGAAGTGATAGAACATGTTGACCACTTCACCTACTTGGGAAGTTGTATTAGCACCAACGGACTGATTGGCGATGAAATCTCAGCACGGATCCGAAAAGCTCGAGCTGCTTTCGCTGACTTACACCATCTCTGGCGTAGGCGTGACATCCGGTTATCAACCAAGGGACGTGTGTACTGCTCATCAGTTCGCTCCGTCCTTCTCTATGGCTCTGAAACATGGCCAATACGCGTTGAAGACATGAAAAGGTTGACTGCTTTCGATCATAGATGTCTGCGATCTCTGTCTCACGTTAGGTGGTTTCACAAGATAAGTAATGTTGACGTTAGGCGTAGAGTGTTGGGCAAAGAGGGAAAATCAATCGACGAGGTTATAAAGTTACATAGACTAAGATGGCTAGGTCACGTGGTGCGCATGCCTAACCACCGCCTCCCCCGACGGGCATTGTTAGCTGATATAGGTTCAGGTTGGAAAAGAGCCAGTGGTGGCCAAACAAAAACATGGCATCAATCCATGAAATCCTTGACAGTTAAACTGAGTCAGGTAGGGAGATGCAGACTCCCGGGTTGGGGCCCTCGGGACTCTAGGAATCAATGGCTGGAGACAATAGGTGACATGGCTCAAAATCGTTGTCAATGGCGCAGATGTATTCAGTCTCTGTAATCTTTCATATTCCTTTCTACCATTACCCATTCTGTTTCACTCTTATACTTGTCAAACTCTATTGATTCTCTTCACTCATCTTCTTGTCTACCTCTGTGTGCTATTTGGAACGTGGCAACTCGAACTGCTGCACTTCGGTGCCAAGTTCTATGTTGAATCCAGACAGTGTAGCTATTGCACATTTTATCTACTTAGAGATGACAGCGGCATCATGCAATCTGTTTTTGCTTGCTTCTTTAGTTTCCATATATGGTATCAAATAGATCAATGTTTTGTTGTGAGTCTGAATAGTTTTTGTTTCCGAAGGAAGCTGCGATGATTACTCACCGCGTACTGTGCAATTTATAAACGATGAATCTGATGCAATTGTATTATCAGTTTACTCAAGTTTTTTTTCCCTTCACGTTCCCCAGTGGAACATAGGGCTTCAAGCTAGTGGCTTGAAGTTTCTGTAGCAGTGGTGTTTATTTTACAGGATGAGGTTTCTAGCCTCATGCCCAACCTTTCCTCTGTACCAGCATTATTTCTGGCTGAGAGAGGTAAAGGAGTGCGTCCTGTGGCCGGGGATTGAACCCCTGACCATGTTCATGGTCGGGGAGCATCCTAACCGCTATGCCACCAACGCAGAGTTTACTCAAGTAGTTGACTAGAATTCAGATGGTTTGAACTGATTCGGTTCCCTGATCTGAGTCAATCCATGTGTGTGTGTGTATGTACACCGCAGATGAACTCGGCGACAAACGAGTGAAATGACCATCCAGTGTTTAGATCGCTTGTAGTTGGCTAGCAAGCACTACTATTTGATATGTAAGAGGTTTCCAACTACCGATGGTAGTTAGTAGTACATTCTCTTTAATCTAGTACACTTTTACATTAGCTCAATAAGATGGTTTATTGTTAGATTGTGATAAGGTTAGCAAATCATTTATCGGGTGTTGATTCACGAGGATCTAATTAGTTACAGGTTGGATGACGAGCTGACATCAGTTGGAGAACCACTGGAAAGCCATCAGGGAGTACTGGACAGCTATTTTGCCCTAGTTTGAAACTCTTTAACAGTGAACACCCACCTTAGCTTGAACCCAGGGCCTTTCGGTTACATGGCGAGCTCGTAGACCACTCAACCACGAGGAATCGATCGAACGGTTCATGAATTCCAACTTCTACTAATTCGTGACATGTACCACAGTTGTCAGCCAGTGTCACAGGCGAGTAATTATCCTCTGGTCTGACTTTTTGAGTCCCGGCGGTTACAACTTCTTATCGAAACTCCAGGTAACGTCTTATATGGAGCCAGTCACTAATGTGCATCAGATTAATTATCGCGTGTTGGTTTTCAGGGATTTGATTGGTTACAGGGTCAGTCGCTCTGAATATTGTGAATTATCAGAAGTTGGAATTCATGGGTCATTAGATGAAGTCTCACTGGATGAATGGCTTACGAGCATAAACTCTTTGTCCCCTTTACCTGGAATTTCCTTGGTACACGTTCAAAGAGTCTGAAGAAGGCCCTTCTTTCTGTTCTTTCGATATAGCCGCTCCCACAGACACATGTGGAAATCTACGCGCAGACGGAAGTAACAATTGATAGGTACTTGTCAGTATTCGGCTGCACTAACTGGAAAGATGTTCAGAACAGAGGGACTAATTTTGCTGCAGGGTACGTCCTGAACAAGGCATGCATGCAATGAATGTGTCACCTATATATCTTTAGTAGTCTGTTGTTACATCGGCTGCACACTAATGCTTTGTCTGTTTTAGACTGGCCATAAAAGTATCTGCTAGTACAGGACCAAAACGAACCCCGTCATAGCTAATACATCCTTCTGGCTATACATTCTGTTGTCAAACTGGGGATTTATACCCTTGGTGTGTGTGCTACTGAAGAGTCCCAGACTAGGACGACACAACTGTCCAGTAGTCCCTGATGGTTTTCCAATGGTTCTGCAACTGATGTCAGCTCGTGGTTGAACTTTGAGATA